ACATCGTGCGAGGGAGGGGGTTCTTGTGAGGAAATATACCACACCCATAAACCTCGCCAAGGTTGAGAAACTGTCCTGGCAGTTCTTTGATTTACTGGTCAGATGAACACATGGCCGACCTATCCATATGGGAAGCTTTATTTGGAAATAAATTCCATCATTTGAATAGTACTCGGGGTGTACCGAGCATGGACAGGATATAGCACAGCAGTTTTAACAACCCTGCATCCTTCTTTTTTGAGGCACTTTAATGCAGTATGTTGTGGTTACAATTAGAATGCTGGACTGATAACGCAGCAAAGATTCTTAAGAGTTTTTACTTCAAAGAGGTAAATCCAAAATCAAGGGTAAATTGCTATTCCTGTATATACTGTATATTCTGTATAGGACGCTTTGGTTTAAGACCGTTCCTATTTTGAGTATCCAGGTTGCTGATCAAGAAATGAATGACATCTCAACTGAAACAGATAGCAAGAGCTGAAGACAAGAATGGGAAAATGACACTGGTTCACAATTCCTAACTTTGAAATGTTTCCGAAATACTGAGATCAGCCCTTCCCAGAAGGCTGCCAGCGCGTAATGTATCCTGGGCCAACCAAAGCGTGATGCAATTTAAATAAAAAGAAGTGGCCTCTGTAATACAATAATTCCTGTCTACTTCAGATGGTAGCATCTGGGAGCTTGGCTGATCCCAAAGAAGCCGAGCAGATCTAGCCTGTCCTCGGGTGGGAGACCCACAGGAAATGCCAGGGGTGGGACAGGGCTCCCCTGTGCTCAGGGGCCCAGTGCTCAGCAGCACAGGGGGAAAAGCGTGGTGAAAAAAGAAAACCGGTCTCTGGCTTCTTGTCAAGACAGCAACCCAGCTGTGTCCATGTGGACACCAGGGGTAGCTCCGCACTACAAGGAGCAGTTAAGCCACGGCTTAAAAAGTGTGAGTCGGTCTTCCATATCTCCAACGCGTCTTGCTGCGGCTAAGCCACACGCAGCCCTTCCATCCACGCGTCGAGCGTCGCTTTTCAGACGACCTTTGAGGAAAGAGCGCGGAGAGAACGCAAGCGCGCGGGGGAGGGGGGCTTCCACGCGCCTCGGCCCCAGACCAGCCGGAGCGCCCCCAGACGTCCGTCGCGGGCCGCCCGGGCCTTCCCTACCTGCACTCGGGCTTCGGTGAGGTCGATCTTCAAGGCCAGCTCCTCGCGGGTGTAGATGTCCGGGTAGTGCGTCTCGGCGAAGACCCGCTCCAGCTCCTTGAGCTGCGCGCTGGTGAAGGTGGTCCGGATGCGCCGCTGTTTCCGCTTCTCGTTCAGGCCGCCGTGGTCGGTGAAGAGCTTGTAGGGGACTGGAAGGGGAGAAAGAGGGGGGAGACGCGGTCAGGCCGGCTCGCGAAGTCCCGCGCAGCTGGAGGCCCGGCCGTGCGCTCGCTCCGCGGCGCCGCTTCCAGAGAGGGCTAAAACGCACGTGAGAGTCCCGTCCTCTCGTCCGCGCACACATGCACCTGCGCGCGCGCACACGCACACCTCCGCAGGGAAGTGGAACTGGGCTCTAATGCAGGCGGGGGAGGCGCGGCGATTTGGCTCCGGGCCTCTTGGAAACCCGCGCCGGGCTTCGAGCCTGAACGCGGCCCCGCGATACTCGGCTGATCTTGGAAGCGAAGCTCCGTTTTATTCCCTCGGAAGCGGAACGGCGCACACGTTAAAAAGCTGTTCCTGACGTGAAAAGAAAAGCCAGCTCGACGTTTGATTCATTTCTCTTTTTTTCGTCGTCTTCTTCTCCTTGTTAAACGCACGATTCGATTCACTTTGGCATTAAACGGACTTCAATTGTTATAATTTAATTACACCGAATGACGGGCATACCTACAAATCTAAGGCTAGTTTCGATTAGTCTACGGGAGGTGTAAAAAATGTAAAATTTATTTTCGCATATTGCATTTATAACGAAAAGGAGGGGGAGGCAGACACCCCGCCTTTGCTAAGCTGCGGGAGGTGATGAAATGGTGCAAATGCCCCTCTCTCCCCCCCCCCCCTTTCG